GTCCGGGGGGGACTGGGGGTCCGGGGTGGGGTGCGGGTCCGGGTCCGGGGGCACCGGTCCGGGAGGAGCGGGGTTCGCGGGTGGGCCTTTCTCCGCCCGGCCCCGGCCCTCGAGCGGCAGCTTCCCTCTGCACTCCGGTTTCGCTCGAGGCTCGTGCGGCGCCGTCTCCATCTTCCTCCGCAGTCTGCGCGCAGCCCGGGCCCGCGGCTGGACCGGGCGCTGGGCTCCTCCCGACCTGGGGCCGCCACCGCGGGGACTCGGGGAGGACTGGAGTCCACGCGTGCGCGCGTTCGTGGCGCGGGCCACAGGGCAGGAGGGGTGGGAGGGACCAAGCTCCGGGCGCCCAGGTGCTGGTCTGAGCGTTGGTGGGAGGCGAGGACAGGGAGACCAGGGGCGGGTCCCGAACTCAGGGGTCCCGCGTGATCAGGGCTTCCCCCGGGTGGACGGGTCCGGGAGGAAGGGGCGCAGGTGACTCGTGTGCGGCGGCAGGACCGGGGTCTCCAGGGCGAGGGGAGGCCGGAGCACCCAGAGCTCCCAGCAAGGCCGCCCGGGGATCCCTGAAGTTTGAGACTTGAAAGCCGGCACCTGGCGAGGGGGGCAGGAACCGCGAAGGCCGGAGCGCGCCGCGGCGGACACCTCACCTCGGCCAGGCGGGGCGTCACCCACGCGGCTCCCCGAACCGCCCGGAGGCTGCCGAGCCTGCGGCTGTGGAACGAGGCCCGCCTGTGCCCACCTGGCGGCCGCACTTCCGACAGAGACCCGTCTCTGGGTCCTGGGCGGAGGAGGGCAGCCAGGGCGCGGCGTTGGAGCGGGGTGGGGGGAAGCCCCGGGTCCAGGGTCCTCCCAGAGGGAACAAAGGAGAGGGTAGGAGAAGCGGGATCCGAGACTGCGAGGAGAGGGTGCAGGCCGCCCCCAAAGGGCAGCTCCAGGCAGGCTGCGTGGGGCCGGGGGAGGGTGGCGTGGCCGGAGGGGTGTCCTGAGCTTGGAGCGTGGGGTCGGACTCAGGTGCTCTGGCACACCCCAGCTTAGGGGAGGGGGTGGCGGTGAGGAGTGGGCCTGCAGTTTGGGGGAGCAGTTGAGATGGGCTTGGGCTCACGACCAGGGCCCAGAGGCCTCCTTAAACGGCAGCACACCGGGGAATCTCTGGCGGCCGGTGGGTGCGGTGGGTGCGGTGGGTGCTCCGTGGGGTGGGAGGGAAGTCTGGTCGCTGCTGCTGAACCGAGGCTGAGTGGCGCGCTGCTGCTGTCGCCTGTTCTAACCCCGGCTCAGCGGCAGGCCTCTAGGCCGTGGTGTCCAGTGGCCTGCCGTGAGCCACGTGTGGCTGTGGAAGAGCAAAGCAATTAGAAGGAAACAGAACAAAAAGTTTCCAGCGGCCACGTTCCTGGATAGCTCCGATATCGCTGTGGCAAAGGCCCAGGGCCAGCGCTGCCCTGCAGATGAAGCGCCTGGAGGACAGGGCTTTGTCCGCTCGGTGTCGGCGGGGCCTGGGCACAGTGAGGCATGAACCGTTCCACAGCCAGAGGAAAACGCAGTCGGCAGCGTGTTCGCCCGGATGGGTGTGGGCTTTAAGCGCCGTGTGTGTTTTGGGGGCGCCAACTCTGAAGGTGTTGAGTTATGGCAGGTGAGTGCCCTGGGGCATGTTGTGAAACTCCTGGCTGGTTTGAACCGAGGCTTAGGGGTGCTTCCGCTGCGTGACTTTTGGTTGTCGTGTGCTGAATCCAGGGCGACCAGAAACAGTGGACCGCTGCTTTCTTCTAAGGCTTTCCCTTGACACAGAAGGAGGGTTCAGGCCAAAAGGACACCTCCCACCAAGGGCTTTGTTGTCAACCGGGCCTGGGCTGCTGTAGAAAAAACTGGTATCACAGGTGTACCCTCGCAGGGTTTTTATTTACCGAATATTTGTTTTAAGGTTGAGAAAAGATATTCTGGCTGGGCATGGTGGCTCATGCGTGTAATCCCAGCACTTTGGGAGGCTGAGGCAGGCGGATCACGAGGTCAGGAGTTCGAGACCAGCTTGGCCAACTTAGTGAAACCCCATCTCTACTAAAGATACAAAAAATTAGCCGGGTATGGTGGCTTGTGCCTATAGTCCCAGCTACTAGGGAGACTGAGGCAGGAGAATTGCTTGAACCCAAGAGGCAGTGCTTGCAGTGAGCCGAGATCACGCCATTGCATTCCAGCCCAGGCTACAGTGCGAGACTCCATCTCAAAAAAAAAAAGAAAGAAAGAAAGAAAAGAGATTCTGAAAAATAGTAAGAAGTTGGGATGATGATGTTTTATTTTTAATTTTTTCAGAGGCACGGTCTTCTCTGCCACCCAGGCTGCAGTGCAGTGGTGGGATTGCAGGTCACCGAAGCCTTGACCCACCTGGATTCAAGCCATCCTCCTGTCTTGGCCTCCCCAAGTGCTGGGATTATAGGCCTGAGCCACAGCACCTGGCCATGCTTTTTTTTTTAATTTTTTTATTTTTTAATGGCATGTTACACTGAGAAACAGTAGGTGCTTCTGTTTTCAAAAGGTGAGGGTGATTGGGCGCGGTGGCTCACGCCTGTAATCCCAGAACTTTGGGAGGCCAAGGTGGGCGGATTATGAGGTCAAGAGATTGAGACCATCCTGGCCAATATGGTGAAACCCCGTCTCTACTAAAAATACAAAAACTAGCTGAGCGTGGTGGCGCGTGCTTGTAGTCCCAGCTACTCGGGAGGCTGAGGCAGGAGAATCGCTTGAACCCAGGAGATGGAGGTTGCAGTGAGCCGAGATCACGCGATTGCACTGCAG